CATCCGGTGCCTCCACATGCCTCCAAAGGTCAATATGTGCTTCTCCAAGCTCATAATCTTCCAGAAGATCTGCTAGCCTTTACCTGGTACAAATCAAATTACAGGATCCCAGTTCTTAAAATTATAGAATACATCAGAGACTCAAAATCCATCACCTGGGCACCTGAATACAGAGGAAAAGGGACGGTGTTCTCGAATGGATCCCTGCTGCTCCAGGACATCACTGAGAAAGATGCAGGAATGTACACACTAGAAGTTTTAAACAAAAATGTCGAATTTGAAAGAGCATACTTAGAACTTTATATAAAGAGTAAGTGGTTCACGATGGTCTCTAACTATTGGGTATGGCTTATCCGACTTCTTACAGTAAGCTGTTACCATTGGGCTATACCTCCTCTCCTCCCCACTGCATTGTTTTCCTCTACAGGGGTTTGGTCCCTACTGCAGGAAATATGTTGGGTAGACAAACTGTAATATCAGAATTGCACACCTGTCTTTACCAGCAGAGAAGAGGACCTATGTTGGGTAATCTCAGCCCCAGGATGTTATTTCCAGCCCAGACCTTAGAGCTCTCACATATGTCCCCAGAAAGGCTCTTTGGAGTCAGGCAGTCTCTGTATGATGAAGCCCTGGGATCTTCACAGAGACCATGAAGCCCTGACTCCAAATCTTTGGCCCTGGCTGGCCTCAAGGTGACCCTTGGGAGCTTTTCATAACTGTTTGGATTTCCTGTCAGAGCTGAAAGGGACGGAGGACTTACAGACTGTCCAAGTCATGGGACTGACTATCCCATAGAGCATAGAACCAGCCGTGTACTGCCATGACAGCTGCAGTTAGGGAGATCACCTGTATATCTCCTTCTGCCTGAGGCTCAGTGCACAAGTATGTGAGCCATTAGGCTATTGTTCTGGTGGGATTATGAGATTTCAAAGAAAGATCAAAGCACCAAGGGAAAAAAATCAGGAGGCAGTTACTCTAGATTCCTACTTCAACTCAGGGGTCCAGCCTAGGGAATTTTCTTCTGCAAGTAAATATTAACAGGTGCTGTTGATATGAGCAGCTCCCCATTCCAAGTTCAGACCATTTCTCATAACTAAGCCTATCAGGGTAACACAGTTTCTGGGTGGCAGATTGAAAGCCTGATATATGTCTATAGTCACAGCTTCAATCCCTGCCCCGGAATCATTATAGGGTATGAACTAAAGATGGCCTGGTTGAACTCTTTGGACTACCGTCATTTGGTACCCTTATCTCTTTCTTCACAGAGAATGTAACACAGCCCATTCTTCAAATCACTGATAATACACTCACAGGAGGGACATCTGTGATCTTCAACTGCATTTCACCTGACACTGATGTCTCTATCCATTGGATCTTCAAAAAAGAGACTCTGCAGCTCAAAGAGAGGATGACTTTCTCCCCGACAAAGTGTGGACTCAGAATAGATCCTGTTAGTAGAGAGGATGCTGGGGAGTATAAGTGTGAGGTCTCCAATGGATTCAGTTTGAAGACCAGTCTCCCAGTCTCCTGGCCATGATGAGTGAGTGACCTCTCCTCTTCTATAGCACAGTGGGGGCATTTCTTTATCAATGAGGTACAAAATGAATGAAGAAAATTTATGCGGTGAAATGATTAGTTACTACTCAGGTACAGCAAGCATGGTGACCCATTCCTATAATCCCAGGATACATGTATGCACAAGGGAAGGCCAGGATTTAAAGTGAGGTTGTCTTAAAACGAAAATAAAGACCACAATATGGTAAGCAAAAATTCAAAGGCTTTAAGAACTTAGGTTTTGGTTAAAATATATAGACATCCCTCAGAATTCATGGGAACTAATTTCAGGAGCCCTCAATCTTTTGGATGCTCTGAATTTTCTGTGAAAATGGTGTGTTGTTTGCATTGAGAAAAAATGTCCACTCAAGTACTCAAATACAACAGTTTTAAATGTTTTACAAACTCATTTAAGCCCAATGCTGCCTGGACACCACTCATCCTTGTGAAATGAAGAAGAATGACAGGAGAAGGGTCTGCCCAAGTTTCACTGTAGACATAGCTGGTTTCTAAATAGCTTTGATCCACTGTTTGATGCACAGACATGAAATCCTTCATGTAAGGGCAGATTGCACTGTTTGCATCCTGATAGTGGCATTCACACAAGAGTGTTTTTCCTTTTTTATCCCCCTCTCATATATTGGATCACAACTATAGATTCCCCTCTTCTCCTCTCCCTAAACTTCCCCTCTACCCTAGATTCATTCCTCTTTTGTTTCCCTTCAAAAATTTTGCATGCTTCCCGTTTATATCTACAGAACATGGCATACCAAGTCATATTAAACTTGTCACAATCCCTCATCAGACCTGGGAGAGCCAACCCAGTAGGAAGTAAAGGGTCCAAAGGGCAGGCAAAAGAGTCAGGGATGTCTACCACTTTCCACTGTGAGGAGTTCTAAAGAATACCCATCCACACTACCATAACTTATTTGCTGAGGCCCTAGCTCAAACACATACAGTGTTTTTTATTATCACTTTGGTCTCAGTGATCCTCTATAAGCCCCGATTAATTGTTTCTGTGCTCTATGTTTTCATGATGTCCTTGACCCCTCTGGTTCCGACAATCCATTCTTCCCCTATTCTGTGGGGGTTCCCCTGGCATTGCCAAGTGTTTGGCTATATGTCTCTGCATCTGTTCCCATATGTTTCTGGATTATGCCTTCTGATGACTATTAGCCTGCACACTGATCTAGTAGCATAACAAAATATCATTAGTAATCATTTCATGGAAATGTTTTCCCAATCATGTTTGGTTCTATCCTGAATTTCTGTGCTGTGTAACCTCTTGTTCCTGGCTATTCATGCAGTGTCAGGTCTGAAGTCTCTCTCATGGCATATGCTTTAATTTGGGCAAGTAATTGTTTCTCCAATCCCACAACTTCTCTTCCACTATAACCCAGTACATATTTCAAGCAGGACAGGTTGTAGGCCAATGGTTTTGGATGGATTGGCATCTCAGTCCCACTGCTAGAAGTCTTTTGCTGTTTAGAAGATGGCATGTTCAGGCTGTCTATTACTCACTAGTAGGAGTCTTTATTAGTGTCACTCCTATAGGTTCCAGAGAGTTTCCCCTGTCGTAGATTTCCACATTGATCCCCAAATGCCCCACCATTCCAGTAATTACTCCAAGTGCTCTTTTCTTCCATCTCACTATCCCCCCACCTGTTTCTGACTGTTCCCATCCCTACATGGCCTGATCCATTCACAAAAGTCTATTTATTTCATCTTCCCAGGGGATACATGGATCGAGTCTTCCTTGTTACTTAGCTTCTCTATGCATGTCCCAAAAACATTACTTCTAATTGTCTGTGCACAACATTAGTTTACAGAAGTAGAGCTCATATGGCTATGTTTGTTCACCAGTTCTATAAAATTCTGTAGAATGCCTAGAATTTTTCAAAGATAAGTTCATGTCATCTACAGATCTATTTTACAGCCTATTAATTGACCAAATTTTACTTATTTATGTTGCCATTTGTTCTGTCTAGGACGTCTAAGATGATACTGAAGAAAAGTGGCCACCACAGTACCCTTGTGTTAATCCTTGTCCTAGATGGAAAGCTATCAATTTTCCCAGTGAATTCTAAGTTGACAGTGGATTTTTCTTGTGTGCACCTGTTCTACCCTTAGTTTGTCTGTTTTAATTTTATTAAAAATAGTTGACTTTT